AAACTTCCTATAATATCCTAATAAACCTAGAAAAGCTTTAATTTGTTTGGTTGTTTTTGGTATGGGGTAGTTTTGAATAGCTCTAATTTTTTCAGGATTAGGTTTAACGCCGTGTGGTGTTACAACATGACCTAGAAATGCGACTTCCCTTTTGAAAAATTCACACTTATCGATTGGTAATTTTAAGTTCGCAGAACGTAATCTATTAAAAATTTCTTTGAGGCTAAGTATGTGTTCCTGTAACCCTGTGCTAAAACATATTATATCATCAAGATATACACAAAAATTTTTATTTAAAATACCGCGAAGAAGGTTATCCATTTTCTGGAATGTGGCTGGGGCGTTTTTGAGCCCGAATGGCATACGAAGAAATTCGTAGTGATCGTTTTCTGTGCTGAAAGCGGTTTTCTGAATATCTATTTGTGCCATTTCAATTTGGTGGTAGCCACTGGCAAGGTCGAGGGTACTAAAATACATACATCGCCCTAATTTGTCAAGCAAATCCGTTTTATTTGGTAACGGATATCGATCATCGATAGTTTTTTCATTCAACTTTCGATAGTTGATAACTATGCGCCATTTGCGTTGGCCAGAAGAGTCTGCTTTCTTTGGCACAACCCAAATAGGTGAACTCCACGGACTATATGAAGGCCTTATAATTTTTTGGTCTAATATTTTCTTAATTTGTTTTTCCACCTCCTGTTTATGGATTTGTGGAAACCGATAAGATTTTGCATAAACAGGAATTTCGTCTTTAGTAATTATTTTGTGTTTAATTTTACTTGAAAAACTTAAGGGTTTATTTTCAGTATGAAAAATGTCAGAATACTCGCGTAACAATTTTTCTATTACACTTTTTTCTTCATCGTTCATATGGTTAATTTTTATTTTCGATATATCAATTGTTGTATCACCACAATATAAACGTTTATGTTATTAAATTTTATTGCTTTTTGTTCCCTAAATTCATTAAACAATTTAACATGAATTGGACTAATTTTAGCGGGAATGTCTTTATTTGTAGGGTTAACAACACTACAATAAGTAGTAAAAATTTTTACGGTAGCTACACTTTCTGGGATTTCCAAATCGCCAGATTTCATGTAGGGTATAATGACGTTTCCGTCTTTAACATTTTTAACATTAATTCTTATTATTTGTTCGGTTCTAGCTGGGACTACTATGCTGACAGGCCCACTAGACAGTTTTAAATAATGAATTTTAATTCTACAATTCGGTGTGATTAATACGTCGTTTTGTAGATCATTCACCACGTTAATTTTCTTTAAATTGTCTAACCCTAATAAACAATCAAAGTCTTTATGGAAATTAAATAAATGAAATTTTAAATTTATATTATTTTTAAATAATGCTCCACAAGGAATCTCTGTACTGTACTTTTCCAAGGAGGTACCGTGTGCGCTTGATATAAGGAAAGGGTTGTATTTTATGTTTTTTGAAAATAACCTATTTGCAATATCCGGTTTAACAAATGATTTTGTGCTTCCATGTCTATTAAAATTTTTAAATTTAACTTTGGAAAGATTATATAAGAGAGTTCACTTTTATCATTTGTCAAACTCATTATTTGTATTCTTCCGAGGCTCAATTTCAAATCAACGTGTGGATCGCTATGCAAATTAAACAATTCCTCTATTTGAACATTTGGCGAAGATCTGTTTTGATTATTAAAGTTATTAGTTGTAAAATTACGTGTAGAGATACTCATAGGGGTTGGTTTGGGCACGTTGGGATTTGGATTAAAAACGTCATTTCTATAACTTGGACCCGGTTGATTTTGATAATTGTTGTTATTATTAAAGTTAATTCTATAACTAAAATTGTTACTAGTATTATTCGCTTGGGTGTTCATATTTCTTGGTTTTGGTTGATAATTATGGGAATAATTCGTTAAGGGTAATGGTTTTGGAAAAATTTGGTGATGTTTGTGCATTTGCAAATTTCCTTTATAGTTGTTAAATTTCGATTTAGGTTGCGAAATATGATTTTTACTATTTTGATTATTTACTTCTAACTGAAAATCGTTAGTTAGCATATTAAGTGCGGTATTTAAATCTGCAGGGTTTTTGGTACGCATACGTGAACCTATAGGTTCGCGAAGACCTCTTAAAAGAACACGCAGAGCGTATTTTCTTAAATATACTGTTAAAACTGCAGCTTCGTTTGCATTTGCAAGATGGATAGTTAAGTACGCAATTTGTAAATTAAGTAAAGTAAGAATATTATAATAAAAATCGAAAACTGATTCTCTAAATCCTTGTTTCAGTTCGGTCATTTCGATACCTAAACTAAAAACATCTCTTTTATCGCTATATCTATTATGTAGAGCAGTTTTTAGTTCTGCCCAATTGGTAATTAAACAAGATGAAATTTTGATGGCGGCATCGCCTGTTACTTTTGCTAAAATACTAGACATTAAATATTCCTCTTGAAAATCTGTTGGGTCTTGGGCATTATAGAATTTTGTGACTATTATTTCACAAATTTCAATAAAACATGGTAGAAGTTCGGATTCTCCGGAAAATTCTAGAATCATTTTAAGGTATTCGGGTTTAAGGACGGGTGCCATGCTTGGGTTAGGGGTATTTGTTTCGGAAATATTTAAATTAGCAAGATTAATGTCAGGGGTTTGATTTAAAATATTTTCAATAATGGTGTCGTCTAAATCGACGCTGCTATCTGTTTCGGAACTTGAGTCTGATTTGGGGTCGTTCGGGAACAATCTATATTCATTAAATGACATAAGTACTTACAGGCAAATTATCGTTGCTGGTACCCTCTGCATCTGTGATGTCCTCCCACTTGCGACGGGTTTGGTGATGGTTTCTTGGGTCTGCTCACTTGAAATTCCACCTGGTTCAATCAATCGTAGGGACGATAACAATTTCTTGCCAAATTGGTTTGGTGAAACTCCGACTGCGCCAATTACGTTACGATAGTGCCCGAAAGAGTTTTAAAAACAATTTATTTTTGTTTAACAATAACTTTTGTTTTGGAATGAAATATAATTTAATTAAAATACGTTTATTGAATGATAGCTAATTACAGACTCAGAAATTATAATGATTAATTTAGTAAGGTAAAAATGCTGACAACTGAGTTAGCGAAATAAATGAGGTTGTGCATGATGTCCTTATAAGGAGTGACTCCGTCACGTAACTTGTATTTTTATAAAATTAACAACAGTAGACATTGAATTATGCTACGTGCGAGCCCCGAACACATTAGAGATTATAAATCTTTTACTTTTCAGCATATTTTTCTTTTGCCACAATTTAAATCTATCAATTCATTTTAACAATAGAACGTAGACCACACACGATGTATATTTATCAAATTAACAACAAAACCCATAAATTATGCGACCACAGAACACATTTGTTACTTCCCGCATACATTGTTTACTAATCCCCATTGTTCATACATGCTCTACGTGCTCTAACAATAGCGCATAAAGAGGCATATATTCTTCTTCTTTGATAAATATTACCATAATCATATCCACATTAAAATTATTAAAAATATTTATATTTTTAATCTTTAAAATAGCTTGACACAACCTAACAAAAACAAACTGTAACTAGCAACAATTGGCAAACAAAGATCGTAAATATTTACGATTCTGTAAGATTTTCTATAAGCTACAGAAAGTTCAGAATTGCAAATTGTCTATAAGCTTATATAAGGCAGTCAAACTACAAACAAAAGTGACTGCATGATCTTTAACAAACACTTCTTTTTGCAGTAACGGCCTTTCAAAATAAAAAGTGCTGGTATCCATAGAAATAACAATGTTATATTATATTCGATTAGTTCGGGTGTACACATTTATACATATGCCTTCTAAGACCACGATAAGAATTAAATTTTCTTTAACAAATTTCAATAAAACAGGGAATTTTTTGTTTACGTGTTTCAAGGACACCACCTTATGTTTTATCATTGCATGAGTAGAATTTGTTTTGTATAAATGACAAATAAAACAATAAAATAAATTTGGCATCTTCGGATATATGCTTTACAAAATTAATAATAATAATAAATATAAGAATAATTATAATATTACCTAATTTATTTCAACGTTTAAAAGTTTTGCTCTTAACGTCTTAATCTTAGAGATAATTGTGAAGTTATCTTAAATCTTAAAGAAAATGTACACATAAATATAAAAAATGATTTTAAGTTTTCTTCAAAATGTAAATTGAAAACGTACTGAATCTTACATGATGGCTCAATGCCTGAGAGGGATATATTTACTGTCTGAATAAGGTGTTGAGGGGCCTTATTGGGGCCAACCGCAATAATAAAAGGCTATGGAGTTTCTGCTTTTTTGATAATTTCTTCCAGTGTTACTCCCGTCTGCAACAAAAAAAGGTTATAGCATTATTATTTTTAACATCAATAGTTAATATACCAATTTATCAATCAACCACGAACCCAGCCAAATCCAACAAGGATAACTTAGACGCAGGCCCGGATTGGGATAATTTTTCGGCCCGGGCTTTGATTATAAACCGGCCCTTAAACCACATCAATTTTTTTGTAACAATAAAAAAATTTGAAAGAAATAATTTTTTTTTATTAAGCTTTAAAGAATTTTTTTAAAGATTCGCTTTTGGTGGCAATATTATTTATAATCACATCGGTATTAATATCTAGAAGAATTCAACGGACATCAGAAGTAAGGCATCCAAGTGTTCTTGTGTAAGACAACTCCTTAGGCTATTCTGAACAAATTTTAACTTTGAAAAAGTTCTTTCACAGGAAACCTGGGTACATGGCAAAGTTAAAACGTATTTATAAGCGTTATATAAATTATTGTAAGACATTTTATGTAATTTATATTGAAGCAAAACTTAAAAACAACACACAACGCAACTTTTGCATGTTTCACAAATAGCTACAGTGAGATGTTGGGATTCATCTTCCTTCAATATCGATTTGCTCGTTTTATTTACCAAGATCTCTTTCATCTTGTTTCATTTTTTCGCAAAATCTTTCAGTTCACTATAAATTTCTGCTGAGGTCACAATATTATTGCCACTGTGTTTTGTTATTTGATCCGCAATATATTGAAATGAACCATGTGGCAAATCATCAATTTTTCCAAAGGACGGATCTAGCCAAGCAAGGTTCAAAAATAATGTTTGGTGACCTGTGAATCTGTTTTCCAAACTTTGCAAAGCATTGTGATAAATAACATTGTAAACCTGTGTTTCAAATATCTTCTCTGGATCAGCGATACATTCATCATTACTTTTTTCTCCAGGCATCATTTTTCTTTTTTTAATTCGTTTTGCAGCCAAATTAGATGAAAAATATGGTTCTCTTTCCACTTCCACGAGAGGGTCATTATTATCATCATCATCTGTCGCTGGTTCTTCGGATTCATAATCCATTCTTCGATTTGCTCAAAGGACAAATTGTTTGGCAGCTACCAAAACTGCTTCAAAACTCCTTGAGTCTGTTTTGAGGGTGGTTATGGTTTTTTCAACCATTTTAAATGTCATAATAGGACTCATTTTGTTTGTTTGAAGGTATTTGGATGAAAATTTTTAAAAAGATTTGAGCACTTAGTATTACTTACTTCAAATTTTTTCAGTGAGTCTGCAATGGACTTTGCCTTGAAACGCGCATCGTTTGCGAAATTGGATGAACTGGCAATTTCCTCTAGTGTTAATATAATCTCTACAATCTCTAAATTTTTTGGATTATTGTAATGTCCAAAAATTTTTGTTAGAGCTTTATCTTTTGCCCACCAACGAGTTTCTTCAATTAAAGACAACAATTTCCTTTTTTCACACACTGTGTCCCAAACTGCCATCCTTTTTTAAGACTCACGAATAAAGCCTGCACATTGGTTAATGATAGCAAATAACGAAATTGCCAACACCAAATTAAGAACATGTGCGTTACACCAAACATGCACTAGGCCAGTAAAATTTTTCTCCATATATGCCGAAAAACCCTTATACTTGCATATTTAAGGCACCATCGGTAGCAGAACCAATACAATTTTTCATATCAATGCCATTTTTAACAAGTAACAATTTCTCTCTTACATCTTCCGAAACATATCTTACAATAACACTCAGCTGATCATGAACATTGATATCTTGAGTTGAATCAATTTGGATAGAGAACATTCCAGCCTTATTGATTTCTTCAGAAACCTTCTTTTTTATTAACGAAGATACTGACTCTATGATATAATTGACGGTAGTTTTCGATAAAAATGTATTGATAGTAGAATAGGAGGCTGTTGTTGAACAATGGGAATAATGGCCATTGTTTCTATTGTTTTATTGTTAAAGTGACTTATGAATGATATGAATGACAGGCCTATGTTGAACAATGGGAATAAGCACAGGCCACTGTAGTTGCCGCATTTGCGTCGATTCGTTTTGCTTCCGCAAAACGGTCTACAATGGCCTCCAAACGACTTCTTTTTGAAGCTAAAAAATTGTATAAAACATAATTAGGTTTTCTACATAATGGATTTTAAATAAAAAACTTTTTAGTTCATTTCTTTAGTACATGCATTTTTTAAAATAAAAAATAAATCCTTTTTTTATTTTATTACCTACCTCTTCGGAATACTGTCCTGGTGACTGCTTCTAAAAAAATATTTGGAATTAAAGAAGAATATACTTATGCTAATTAATATTTAGTCCATATAAAATATAATTATATTATATTATTATTAATTATTGTTTTTTCTACAATTGCTTTCATATGGATTCAGTACATCCAGAGATAATGGATTTTGAACTGAATTTTTTTATTTTACCTCTTTGAACTTCCGCCATAGGAACTGCTTCTAAAAAAAGAATTGAAATTAATTATACTTATATTATATTATAAGTATATGCTAATTAATATTTAGTTCATCCAAAAATGGCACATTTACCTTCTGCTTCTGTTTCTAGGGGGGCAGGTTCTGGGGCGGGTGTAGTGTTTTTTGGGGGAAACAGCTTCCTTATTAGATCTTCAGTCGCTATTGAAAAAAACAACCTATTAAATTTATCTCAGTTACACTAATATACAGTGGCGTGCCCATGGGCCATGGGGGGTTCAACTCCCCTCCAAGAATATTTTTCATAACCAATCTTAGATTTTTATCTCCCCCTTCTTTTCTCCTCCCCTTCCATAGGCTTAACCCCCCAGACAAAATTTCTGGGCACGCCACTGCTAATATAATATATATGCTGAGCCTATATATATATATATATATATAATAAAGTTACAAAAATTTTGTTTGCAAAACTAGTATAATTGTTATGGCAAGAACTCATTAAAATATAAATAAAATACCTACTATTAATATTTAAATAAGAAAAAAGTTTTTGCAACTCCTAAATTTGTTTTATGTGTACCATAGCAATCTAACCTGGTCGTGAAACTGAGGCTGAGACACCAGCCTCTTCTACCTCAGTATCCCCTAAATAAATTTTAGAAGTGAGGGCCAGCAATTGCTCCTCAACGGCATTTAATTCCGTTGAGTCTGCTGGCCCTCCTCCAGTTTGGATCCTCGATTGCTCAATAATCCTTGCCTTGCGCCGCACTTTTGATTTCCATTCTGAGAATACCTTAAACATGAACATTGTAAATCCGTAATTACTTTAATATTCATTTAAATTTATGTATTTAATTATAACTTACTTGCTTCCATTGGCTCGGCGTCTTTGCCGGGCCAATGTTTTTGCCGTTAATCCTTGTGGAAAATTCATTCCACAAGGAATTTAATTTCACCACTTCTGTGGGCTTCAATTTTGAGTTAAGTATATTTTTATGCTCCTGGGCAAAATGTAAAAGTTCTTCAAATTGCTTTTTCGTGGTCCTACCTGAACGAGCCATTTTTAGAAACTAAATTTATTTGACTATTCCACTCATTACTTTATGGACCAATCAGATTTCGAGTGGTTTTTTCAGTTTTGCAGCGAAAAAACCAGAAAAAACCACTCGTTTATACGAGTTGCATAGCAACCAATTGGTTGCTATACTAAAAATAATTGTTTTTAATTTTAAAATTAAAATGTTAATAAACATGCGTTTCAGCAGTTAAAAATAATCGTGAAATAGTCTTGCCGAATACCACTCGTGATAAAATTTTCCCCGAAAAAATTTTTGATTTTTATTTACTCGAGATTTTTTCAAGAAAAAAACATTCGTATAAAAATCAAAAATTTTATCGGTCAAATTTTACCACTAGTGGTATTATATACGACAATTAGGTTCACGGCCTACTCTATTTATTTTATAAAAAAATAAAAATCGTATATTTTGTCTTTTATTGGTTAATTTGTTTAATTACATTTTAATTAGTTTGCATTAATTTATTAATAATGTGCAACTAATGTTTGGATTGCCAAAAATCAAAATGCTGTAAAAAGATCTATTCTCTGAAGAATAAGCTTGAAAATATAGAAGTTTAAAAAGTATTTTCACATGGAGTGGCTAGTTACCCGGAAGGGTCTGGTGAATAGGCCGTAAACTCTGAAATTGATAAACTTAATGGGTTTTACTCTAAATAACTAAAAGAGTCTATTGTGAGAGATGACTACCGAAAACTTATTGAACTGTCTGAAATATTTTTGGGAGGAGATCAAGAAAAGAAATGCTTATAAAAAGCTGAAATTTCATATAACAGTATATTTTAGCAATACTAATTAGTATATTAATATATTTAAGGGATAAAATCAACTAAATTAGTGAAACAAATGATAGAAACAAAAGCAATAATATTAATTAGTAATCATATTTAATAAAATCATTAGAAAAATACAGTCATGAAGTATATCTTCTTTTTAAAGTGTTTCGTGTTACAAAATACCGCGCGCGCCTAACGTTGGCTAACGGAGGGTTTAGATGCAAGTCGGCACGGGTTCCCGTTTATAGAATGAGCTGAAATTTTTACTGGGAGTATATAAACAAGTAATAAATATAATTAGAAGGTATGCGTAAAAAAAATAAAAATAAGGGACACCCTAATGGACAGTTTTAAAACAAGTATGGCATTCTTTATTTAAAAATAAATTTTCTAGTTTTTAAGAATTTTATTTTCAAATAAAGATTAAAAATTTTTTTAATGAAACGGCCGGTAATAACTTACTAAAGCTTTTAGTGTTTATTGAGCGCATTTTCAGTTGTGATGTGTTGGTGAGTGATAAAACCATAGAGAAACACACAAGCCTGTGCGATTGCCTACTAGAAATCATTATAGATATTGGAATGTACCGCGCTTCGGGCTAGTTTTTCCAGAAAATACTAGAGTCGGGACCATAATTATGTTCACTTAGGCAATTGCGCATTATCTTGCATTTGTTTCTCTCTCTATTGTTAACACGTGAAGTGATTACTTAGTGAATAGTGGAATACCTTCTGCCAATATGAAAAATTTAACAAACTCCACTTTGATAGTTAAAGAACTTTTTTGATAATCAAGCTTTTGCAGTGTTACTGACCTATAAAGTAGAAAAGTACGACAAAAACAGGTGTCATGTAAGCTTCGTTATAAAATTTCTAAGGTATTTTAAGTGTAATCCGTTTTATTTACATTTGTTACCAAATAATTGTATAGTGTTTAAATGTAGAAAACTTAGCTAAGTTTTTATAACAAATGTGAACCATTTTTTATTTGTTGTTTTATGTCTAACGGACATATATCAAATTTTTGTTTAATACATATACATATACTATACCCATGGGTATGGAAAATTTACGAAATGCATCACAAATTAAGATAGTCCATAGACTATCTTAATTTGCGATCTGTATATAGTCATATATTACTACTTTAAATAGGATTGTTAGGATGCTCATTAGTTATTAAGTGTATGCACGTTTATTTTAAATTTGATTTGTTTTATTGTGAATATGTATAAAGCATTAAATAAACTTACTTTTAAATGAAAGCATAGTTTTAAGCATTGTTACCAACCTATATACCTATACACCTACAATAAAATATAAGAAATACAAAATTTAGGAAGATTAGGTCCAGGATTATGCAGAAGTTTATTTAGGTTAGTTTATTTTTTAGAAATATGAAGTTCTTTTGCAAATGGGTGTATGCATGTTAATACAAAATACATAACCACAATCACCAAAGATCTTATTATCAACTTATAAATTATAAATCAGATCTTAAAAATGTTCCTTTTAAAATTAGGAAATCAAAAGCTTATAATTAGAGATGAGATTTTAGTGTTATTACCTATTTGTCTACGCTAATCATAATTTTAGGTGCAATGGAATAAAAACCGTTTTGAAGAAAACGATTTCATTTGAGCCTAATTTTATTTTACCTATTTTACCTAAATTTTAACTTTCAAGAGAAATGAACCTAATTTTTAATTTTACTACCTAAACTAGTGTAATTTTACCTATTTCACATAAA